TATATATGTACCAGTTGTTGCCATAGCGGCTCCGTTTGTGGTTGCATTTCCGTTTATTAGGAAAATTTCCCGCCGATAAAAACACGAACAGTACTGGTTAAAGACAACTTGATTTCTTGCTTCACACAAGGTATCCATTCATAGAAGTCATATGAAAATAGCTTATCTTAGAGTGACTCTAGGGTAATCGAGACCAGGACATATCTCAGAATTTAAATTGAACAAAGGTTGAATTATGTTAACTATAATAGAACAAGTATACAGAGACTAGCCCTTAAATGTAAAAAGATTAAAAAAAAAATAATATATGTGTAAGTAATCTGTCGGTAATTATGATGTACTTATAGGCCTAAATAGCATAGAAAGAAAGAAGAATAGGAAAACATTTTTGAGCGGCTGAAATATTACCGAAAATAAACAATAATAATAATAATTTTGTCATTATAGCATCACGTTTTTGTGAAAATTTGTTGGCAAGAATCAAAGGTCAAGGTGCCGGCAGCCTACACGTTTCATATATTTGACATCGAAAACTTTTATACAGTACTACTAGTGCTTACATCACGAACAATTCAGCCGTGTCACTGCTATTTTGTGATTCTAAAAGATTGAAATGTATGTTTCTTTTTTTTCTTTTTAATTAAATGTAATCATGAAATCGTTACTGCTGCAGCATCCCCTTTTGGAAATATAAAATTAGAATTTTGTTAGGTTACCTTAGAAACATTTAATGTTTCAGTAGGACCTACGTAAAAAATGGTAAAATAGAAAAAGCGCCGTAGCAGGTGATAGGCGTGTGATAACCTTGATAAAGAAACAACAAGGAATTATTCACTTATCGCAACATTTTGTATGAGCAAGAAGATGGAGATGTTGTAGGAATACAACAAGATCAACTAGAGATCAGTGCTACAAAATAAACTCATTAAGCGCGTGCTGTAACGGAGACGCAATGCTACCGAACTAATGGAATCACTCTAGTTTAAGACATTCATACCGAGTTAAACCCACCGCACCACAAACGGAACAGCAATCGCAACCGGACAGATTAATTCCTCACGATGTAAACGAAAATGCTACCGCAGCCCCAGCCAGACAAATGTAAAACATGTACAGTATGTTCTGAAAAAAAAAAGAAAAAAGAAAAAAAAAAAAACATGAACTCTGTGCTACTAGTAGTTGCGCAGAACTAGAGCCCCACTTTATGCTCATAATTTGCGTAAAAAGCTGTGATCGTGGTGTTATATTTGAAGATTCATTCTCTCATCATGTGTGTTTATTAATGAGGAAAACGTTTGTTTTTATTTGTTAAACATTAAGTGCTACATTTGCTAATCATGACCCTACAGCTAAATCAAAATATTGGTCAAAGTCAATGCATGTGAGCTTATCGATGGGTCCTAATCTTAAAATAATTATGATATGAAAATCAAAGTGCCAAATCTAATGATTTTACTATAAAGAATATAGCGAATAATAATGCTGGTTTAAATAAGCAATTATAATTTTGAGGATTGTTCTACTACTAGGGTAGGCATATGTATTGTGTTTTGCAGAGGATAGCCGGGCACTCACTGCATCGTACGACGGTCGTTCCGTCGTATGACTAAACCATTTATGCTCCCTGTGAGTGCTAGACGACGCGACGCCGTCTGCTGATTGCTGGTGGTCGTCCGAACGGATCGTCATTAAAAACGATCAGTTGTGTGCGCGTCGTCGCGTTGTGTTCCCTATAGAATCGCGTCGGCCGACGACCGTCGGGCGCAGTGAGTGCCCGGCTTCTGGCCTATCAATATATCTGATAATGTTCTTTATTCATATTGTTTTTTTTTACACAGGGAGCATGGAGGTATCAACAAAAGAAACAAAATCAGATGTTTCAGAGATGTTTCCAAGTACTTATTCAGATATTGATATTAGTAGAGATAAAGATAATATTCAGACCGCAAGTTTTTCCAACTCTTCTGCACCTTCAGCTGATCTATTGGCAGAAACGTCTCCTTCCACCAGTCTATTAACATTACGCAAGTATCAGAAAGAACTAGCAAAACCCGCATTGGATGGAAAAAACACTATAATATGCGCTCCAACTGGCTGTGGAAAAACTATCACTGCCGCTGAGGTTTGTAAACATTTGCATGACAAATCAGCAGATCCAGATAAGTTTAAGGCCCTGTTCATTGTTCATATCCGTCATCTTACTACTCAACAGAGAGATGCTTTCAGGACGCATTTTGATGAAAAAGAGCTTGGTGTTTTGAAAGAAACGGAAACCTTGCAGGCCATTTTACAAGTGAAGAAAGTTGTTATGATAACAGCCCAGATTCTTGTCAATGCACTTCACAAAAAAGAAGTTGATGTATCAGATTTTGATTTATTAATCTTGGATGAATGTCATCACACAACACAGGAACATCCATTTAACATTATAATGCGTACTTACCTCATGAAAAAGAAAGAAGGTGCCAGTCCCTTGCCAATCATTCTGGGTCTCAGTGCTTCCCTTGGTGTTGGAAAAGACCACAATGCTTCAAGTCACATAATTACACTCTGTGCCAACATGGATGTAACTGTTGTTTCGCACGTCCGTGAAAATGTTGAAGATCTAAAAAAACACGTACACACTCCAGAATATGATGAGATCTGCCGAGTGGATCCACGCCCAAGTGTCGACAAATTCCGAAACATCATTAAAGAAATAATGCAAGAACAGGAACATAAGCATCTTCTAGAAACTGATCCACAAGAAAAAGGAAGTCAGGCATATGAAAGTTGGATAGTTCAATTTAGAAAGAATGCAGAAAAGCTACTAAATCGTGACCTGAATGTCATTTGCGGTTACCTGTTAGCTTTTAATAATGCACTTATACTTTACGAAAATTTAAGAGCCATCGATGCATTTGATTACTTAGATGAATATTTTGAGGAACGTAGCTCTAGCGATGATCACTACATTGCCTGCGAAAACGAACTAAGAATGCAATATCAGACTTGTCACCAGAAAACGTTGATGAAACTTGCTAGGAACGAAGAAACCAATGATTGTCCAAAGCTTAAGAAGCTTGTAAAACTCCTGAAAATTGTGTTTGAAAAAAATGAATTATCCAAAGGTACCCTATGTAGGCATATAACTTTATGCCATTTTATTAAAATTAACTTTAGTCGTAGTTTGAGGTATAAGTTGGAACTAGTTCTGCCTGCTAATTTAACACACGATTGAATATTATTATAGACGCTGTAATCAAAGTTTCAAGTACAGGTACTACTAATTTAAGTCACAGTTCTACCCCCAGTTGAAGACGGCTGCGGCTACCATATTTACTATTGGCTTGATAGGTCAGTTAAGCAATCATTCTTTCTATATTCCACATTTCTTCCCCTTTTTTGTACAAAGCAAAACGTTACAATTTGTGGAAAATAGAAACAAGAAGCGGAATTTAACAATAGTTCTCATTTTAAAGAAAAAAAAATAGACAAGACAATTAGATGAAATATAAATAAAAGATTAAATATATTATTTAACAAAAGAAAAAGATGTTGTGGCATAACTCTTTAATTATTACATTATTAGTAATATTGATAATTTATATCAGTTATTATTTTATCACTCTGTATTGGCCACCTAGAGATATAATATTGTTAATATTTTCAGGATTAATTCTCTGCCGAACACGAGTAATTACAAGAGGTTTAATGTTGTTCTTGAATCAAGAAAAAATATTGCACGAGTTGGGAATAAAACCTGATTGTCTGGTTGGACAAGGCAAACCAGATATGAAATACACAATGACGGAAGTAGAGCAGACCAAAGTTCTTAATCGCTTTAAAGGTATGCTTGACAAAACTCTCACTGATTTTACCATTCATATAAATAATTAAACCAAAAAGAAACAAAATTCTGCTACAGCTGCTGCTGCCGCCGCCACCAAGGATAATAATTACAATATGTAAAATTTGAATCAAAGTAACAAGGGTAGGCATAATGTTTATCGTGTAAAGATATTTGTATATAATCATTTATACCTCGCTATTTTCAATGGATTCATTGCGCCAAGTGTCAAATTCAATGTAAAACGAAAGTGTCGGATTGGTTTTAATTTATACAGTTAACAAAATATCTTGAACAACAAATAAAACCGTTAAACTAATCCTTAAACTAAACCTATTCTTTAAACTGAACATGGCTGCCCGCTGACTCCATGTGGAGCTAATCCGCCCTTCCACCGAATTAGAGATATTTCTGTTACTATAGCTGATTTTATCCGACTTTACTATAAAAACCAATCTGGATTGTAGGCCTAACAACAACAACCACAATAAAAATAATAATAATAATAATAATAATAATAATAATAATAATAATAATAATAATAATAATAATAATTAATAATAACAATAATATTAATAATAACAATAACAACAACAACAGCAGCAGCAACAACAACAACAACAACAACAGCAATAATAATAATAATAATAACAACAATAGCACTTCTGATTGAATAGCTAATGTACTATGTCACAGTCAGTGTTTTACCAGGGCTTCTTTTGCAGTTATGCCCTTCTGCCTTGGCAATACGTTAACAAATTGATGCTTTTTGCCATTATTCCAATAATATATAGCCCCGAGGACATTTTCAGACATTGTTTTTTTGTCAACATATGTGGCCAAGATAAATGGCCAACACAAGTTGGCATGTCAACATTTTCACCATCTGAGAAATAACCGAAATCATAAAATTTGAAAGGCGATTTAAACAGTTGTATTGTTATACTCCAGTAGCTTTATATAGCGAATTGTCGGATGTGAATGATGCCACATTGTGTGTAAAATGATGTACTGATCCCAAATATGGGACTCAATTTCGAAAATTAGAAAGAGCCAACAGGGGATGAACACCTCTAAAACGGTCATTTTTTTAAATAAAATAAAACCAAAAGTTTGATTAAACATCATTTTAATGCGAAAATTTAAATAATAGCGTTGGTTTCGAATTACCTTTCGTGACTAGATGTTGGCCAACGTTCGAGCAGTAGCAACACATGATAAAATACATACCATTTATATTAAATATATTAGAGTTGATATATGAGGAAATTATATAATTATAAACAAAAAAAGTGGTAGTTCTTAAAGTTTATTTAGAAAAAAAAAACCTTGACAGGATTATTGTAATTTATTATTATTTTTTAAAATTATTTTAAATATTATTATTATTATCATTATCATTATCATTTTTATTATTTTTATTATTATTTTTTTATTATTATTGTTATTATTATTGTTATTATTTTTATTTTGATTATTATTATTATTTTTTATTAATAATAATATCATTATCATCATCTTCATCATCTTAATCTTCATTATCATCATCATCATAATTATTATCATCATCATCGTCGTCGTCGTCGTCGTCGTCGTCATCATCATCGTCGTCGTCGTTGTCGTCGTCATTATTATCATCATCATAATCATCATCATCATCATCATCTCGCCAAGAGATATACGTTGGTTGTGTGTACGTCAACCGTTCGTGCTTGTGTGTGTGTGTTCAAAATAAAAACGGCTGCACACATCTAAATAAAAGTTACAGGGATTTTGAGGTATGACCCAAGTATGAGGTGATTAAAGTTGGGTGTCGATCCAGAGTAGGGTGTGGATATGAAGACTATTGAGAAACTAATCAACTGATCTGAATGAAACTTTCATAGAAGTTTAACAAGTTAATAGGAAGAAATTATTAAAGTTTGGTGACGATCCAAATTACAATCTGAATTCGAGGGTCAGTTTAAAGTGCTAAGGTCTCAGACCTAAATATTTCAAAAACCTTAGCAATGGATCTAAATGAAACTTTCCAGAATATTTTGTCATATTTCAATGAAGAAATCTTAAATTTTGGTGACGATCCAGAGTAGGGTGTAGATATGAAGACCATTAAAGGACAACGTCCCAGACCAGATGTTAAAAAATCTAATCAACTGATCTGAATGAAAGCAAGTTACGGGTGTGAATTTGAGGTCATTAGGTCCTAGTCTTAAATCTTTCTAAAATGGATAAATGAATTAAAATTAAACTTTCCCCAATAGGTTTTCAACAAAGAAGTGTTTTAAATTTGGTGACGCCCCGAAGTAGGATGTGGATATGAGGACCATTTAAATAATATGTTGATTAAAGCAAAATAATTGCTCTATTGTTCTAGTATTCTGGTTGGATTTTTTTTTTATTTATCGGTGTAAACACCAGGGATAGCCCACAAAAGTCCAGAAGACGACTTATCTCCAGTGGGGTCCTTCTGGTGGTGATTGGGTAGTACACCTGGAGACAATCCCCTACTCTTTCCCAAAGAGTGTACTGGGTTCTTTAACGTGAACATGGGCCATAAATATACACGGACCAACGGCTTAAAAGTCTCATCCGAAAGACGGATCGCTAATGTAACTTGTATTTCAGCCCTCCAGCAGAAAAAAAGGAGAGGCAGCGATGGGAATTGAACCGGGGACCTATATCTCGACGGTTCAGCGAACACACATTGTCTACCACCAGATTAGGTAACTGAGCTAAGCTGTGGCGATGATTGATTTTCTTCTTCGTCTTTTCCATTGCCATTTCGACTTAGATAAGGCCTCGCCAGCTGACACCACGATGTATGTATTATTATATAACTATCAGTATCTGATTTGGGGTAATGCATGCGGAATTTCGTTAGTAAACCGTATATTACGATCAATTCTCATCAGGTCAGTTATACTCCAGTTTATGATTCCAAAGCTACACTGTAAAAAATGTCAGTAATTTTACGTTTACCGTAATTAAATTTACTGTGAAAATAAGGGTCACTACCGTGTGATTGTATTTTTACGGTATTTTTTATATAATAATACAATAGATTGGTGTTTTGTTGTAAATTTCCGGTAAAATATCGTTTTTCTACAGGTTAAAAATCGTCCGTGTATTTCGACGGAATTGTTATGTAAATATACGGTGAATTCGTAAATTCAATGTGTTTGGCGGTTAAATTACGTCGTCATATTACTGTTTTCCGTAATGTAACAGGTCAAAATCAACATTTACGTTAATTAACGTTGGAGTTCGTAATGTT